GTTTTTCTGAGCAACTGGAATGTTGTTCTGGAAGTAATGCACATGGGTAGTCGACTCTGTTATTTAAAGTGCCATTCTGATCATGTTGTGCAGTGCCTGTGTTTCAGTGACGGTGTTACAGTTGCCTGTATGCCACCAGCTCAAGATCATAAACGCTTACTGGATGGGGACCAGGGGCCAAATACAGGTGGAATGGGATCTTATTGCCCAACCCCTCAGGTAAACTAATTAATTCTTCAACAGTAATTGAAGATGATTATTTTACAGTAGAGTTTATTATTGGGAATAAAATTAGAAATTGCTGGAGAAACTCAACAGGTCTGGCAGCATCTGTGGAGAGAAAGCAGAGTTAATGTTTCAGGCCCAGTGACCCTTGAAGAAGAGAAAGAAGATGTTAATTCTGCTTTCTCTCTACAAATGCTGCTAAACCTGCTGAATTTTTTTTCAGCAATTTTTGATTTCCAGCATCCAGAGTTCTTTGGGTTTTTTTTAATGTCTAATAATGGGATTGTCTCCATGGAATTGTCATGTACCCTGTTGTGCACTACTGAAATATTATGATACCTGGAGTCTGCACCAAGTGACACCGTGTTCAATGGAATTTAGACTAAACAACAGACTAAAGGGTCAAATTTCAACTAGCCAGTGCAACTTAGAGTCATACGGAAACAGACTCTTCAATCCAGCTCCTCTGCGCCAACCAGACATCCCAATCTGACCTAGTCCCGTTTGCCAGTATTTGGCCCATATTTCCCTAAACCCTTCCTATTATATACCCATCCAGATGCCTTTAAACATTGTAATTGTACCCTCCTCCACCACTTCCTCTGGCAGCTCGTTCCATACATGCACCACCCTCTGCTTGAAAAAGGACCCTTCAGGCCCCTTTAAAATCTTTTCCCTCTCACCTTTAAATCAATGCCGTCTAGTTCTGGAAACCCCAGCCCCTAGGAAAAAGACCCTGGCTAGTCACCCAATTCATGCTGCAACTTTTATCTGCTCCAATCATTTTGCCATCCCACCATTTGTAGTTTTAACAGACTGTGTTTTGAGAAATTGAAGGGAATATTAGAAAGTATATGACACCATCAAGGCTGGGCTACAGTTTTAATTGAAGGCATGCATAAGTAAGGTGTTTGGATTGTGTGCTTGGCCAGATAGGTGCTCCCCTGGGTCACTCTAAGAAACCTTGAATCTCCCTACTTTAGGCTTCTGTTCCTCAATCATTATATTGTCTAGTCTACTACTCACAGCTCCCAGATCCTGGTCTGGCTCAGGCATATGACAGACAGGTCTCATGCAGATGAGGGTGTTAAATATTCTGGGTCTCATTCTGTGGACAACACTTTTGCCATCCACATAAGTCTTGCCAATGTAACTCTACTGGGAATTAAAATCAGCTTTATTGGTACCCAACGTGGTAGAACAAAGTGTTCCAAGATTAGTGGAGAATATGAAATTAAAACCTGTGATGATTTCCTCACTCGCATTCTTTCCTGGGGCTTCAAGATTAGGAGCATTATATTTTTAGGAGTAAAAATTTAACGGTCTATTAAAATCTAACCTGGTAAGCAACATTATTCAGTTGGCTTCTCTTGTCTGATTTGCACAGTTCCTCTAATTGATTTTCTTGGTTTAATTTCTTTCATTTAGTGTTATAAATTGAGGGGGAAAGAAAGTACAGCCGTACTGGCTGAGGTTTTAATTGAAAGAACTTGCCAACTCGGTTTGTCATGTTCTTAATGCTACAGGGACTTAGAGTAGTAGTTAAGGCTGACAGTACCGAGGGACTCCTGCACAGTCATGGGTGTCACCTCTTTGAGATGTCACATTAAGGCCTTATCTGCAATGCAGGTGGTTATAAATGATCTTGGAGCACCTTTTACAAGTGATCAAGTGATTTATCCCTGGTGTTACTGTCAATATTTATCATTCCATTTTGATTTTGATTTTTTTTTTTAGTGATATTGATTATCTGGTTATTATCACATTGCTGTTTTTGGCATCTTGCTGTTTGCAAATTCACTGCTACATTACAACAGTGACTACTCATCAAAAGTACATTACTGATGTAAAATAATATGGCATCTAGTGGTTATGAAAAATGCTCTATAAATGCAAGTCTTTCTTTCTTCAATCAAACTCTTCTCTGCCAGTTTCTCACCAATCTTACTTGGAGAAACTGTCATAGTGAGGGATTGCAGCAATGTAGAAGGACGTTGAAAACCATTTTGTTTTTGGATGCAAGAGCACTGTAGCATTAAATGTATTCAATAAAATAATTAAAGTTCTTGAGTAGATCTGTAGCTCGGGTTGTGGATGCTGTGGTTGGATGGCTCGCCAAGCTGGTTCGTTAGTTTGCAGACGTTTCATTACCCTGCTGGGTAACATCATCAGTGCAGCCTCCGATGAAGTGCTGTTGTGTTTTTCCGCCTGTTATTTAAACTCTGGGGTCTGTTGGATTTGATTACCTCACTTCCTCTTTTTCTGTTGCAGTGGTGTATGTACAGGGTCTAATTCTATGTGTTTGTTGGTGGCCTTCTTGGCCTTCCACCAGGAAGGGTAATGAAATGTCTGCGAACTAACGAACCAGCTTGGTGAGCGAACCCACCACAGCATCCACAACCCGAGCTACAGATCTGCTCAAGAACCTTTAATTATTTTATTGAATAATTAAAATAAACTGATATCTAGGACATTTTGCTTCCAGTTCTGACTATGGGAGTTCAAAGATTTTCAGCTGAATTATTAATCCGATGACGACCAGCCTTTAACCTATTTCTAGCTGTTCTGTTCCCTTAGTTTTTTTTTATTTTCAATTATGGCCCTTTAGGTTTCCAAAAATCTTCTCCAAGTGATCAGGGAAAACATTCTTCAGAAAACAGTTGATGGCATGAGACATGAAGGAACCCCTTATGTTGGTGAGTGCTGTTTGAATTTGTTAACACTGGAACCTCAAACTGCAAGCGTGTAGACAAACGGCTTGGTTCTACTGGGGCTGAGCTAAACTGATCCAAGCTCGTTTTACATGTGTGCTGTGTTAACTGATCTCAACTGGGTCTGTCCTTCAGCTACTGCAGTTGTCTGCAGCATTGGCTAAGTTAGGGAGGAGAAAATTTGCTAAAATTCCTGCTCCCAATGGAGCCTGGTGACTCCATTCGTAAGTTTTTTATGCTATAAGGGCAGGAGTAGGAGTAGACTACATAGTAACTTGCTCTATTGTCAAAGAATACTTGTGATCAAAACTGATGTGCAAAAAGTAGCCATTTTGACAAGACAGTTGAAGATTGATGGTGACTTATCAATCCTTGAAAGTTACAGGGCTGCTAAGAACAGGCAACAAGCACAGATCAGTTGATGGTCTGATCTGGATAGTCTTTCATGTTGAGTCTTACCTGACCCATTTCTCATGCCTGCTTGTGCCAACAAGTTTTTAGCACATGTAAAATATTGCAGTAAATCTTTTTTTGCTATTTATCTGAGGTAGATAGTTGGCTTTCCTTAAAAAGGATGTTGTCCCTTTACTTGCGCTTCAAGTTGTGCAGATCTGCTGTGCCGGTATTACAGGCATGACTCCATTCTGCAATTAGTATTTCCATTTGTGTAATAAAGATATTTCAAGTGAAGTCCACGAGTTGATCGCTGTGGAATACCAGCATTGTTGAAATGATAGATCTGCATGAAGGCAAACCACATTCTGCTCCCTCTCTTTCCAGGGATACTATATGCAGGGTTAATGCTAACCAAAGATGGACCGAAGGTGTTGGAGTTTAATTGTCGCTTTGGCGATCCAGAATGTCAGGTAGTTTTACTGTTATCTTTGTTCTGTGTCTGAGGTGCTTACTAAAAGCAAGGATCCAGGTTACATAATATGACTTCATTTTTTTTTGTTTTATCCGAAGAATCTCATGTTGATCCTTGACTCTGTTTTCAGGTCATTCTTCCCTTATTAAGCAGTGATTTATATGAAGTAGTACAAGCAACTGTGGATGGAAAACTTTCCAGAGTCATGCCGTCTTGGATGGAAAGCAGTGCAGCTGTGACTGTGGTTATGGCTAGTGGTGGTTACCCAGGCAGCTACACTAAGGGCCACATGATCACAGGTAGAATCTACGCTGCAGATAAGATGTGTTAAGGTTAATAGAATGGTGCTCTTACTTCAATAAAATTGTAGTTCTTTTGTATTATCTGTGAATTACAGGAATATATCTGCTTTAAAATAAAAATTGAATAGACTTGGCTAAAAGTATTCAGCTTTATGTAATCTGTAAATTTGCTGACACATCTGTATGTCTGTGATGAGATCACAAAATGCATTTTTTTTTTTGCTTATTTGTGAATAAATTTGCTGCTGTTTAGAGTCACGGCCCAGGAGGATGCCATTCAGTGGATCAAGCTGTGTGCTGGGTCTCCATTAAGCAATCCAGTGATGTAAATTCTTGCTTTGGGATTTTTTTTTCATTAATAAATAGACAAATGTCATTGTGCTCACCAACATTTTAAGATTCAAGAGAACAAGGCAAAAAAAAGACTAAACTGAAGCAGTGGGTGACCCCAAATTTCTTTTTGTGAACTTTAACCCCCTTCTATCTTTTCCTGAAGGCTTTGATTACTTCCTATCAGGGCTAAATATTCATGACATACCCCTGATGATGACTCTGTTCATTAGGATGTGTATAAGAGGGAGAGGTTGAAGGTTGTATCAAATTGTTTGTCTAAAAAGCTAACATGCTGCAGTCAAGGCAGTGATAAGTTAAACTATATACAGATCAGAAAAGCCTTTTTTTTTCCAAATCAGAAAAGTTGCTGAGTTATGTAGAATATGCTGATCCTGGCTGCTGTATTTGACCTCTATCCTTCAGAGTTAAGAGAAACAAAACGCTCTGGGATTCCTGTCACTGACTACCATCCAGTAATTTGCTCGGTATGGTGTTGGTACACTGGTTAAACTTTTGCTATCCCATAATCAATTACCTTACTGACACTTTGTGTCTCAAGTGAAATACAAACAGTAGCCATTTGGTTCGACATTGGAGGGCTGTCATTAAACAGTGATCGCCTTCTGGAGAAATGGAAGGATGAAATATTGTTGTGAAGAAGAGAAATAAAAGATTGCAAGGAAAGGCAAGACTGAGCTGGAGGTGAGCAACTCTAATTCTGAGTTTACATTTCAGTGTCAAGACACCAGAAGTGAGTGTAGGGCACAGTTTCTATAGAACAGCAGTATTGTTGAATGGTATTTAATTTTTTTTGACCTGAAAGGACTTTATTTTGCAGGTTTGTCACTTGCAAAGGATATGGGTCTTCAAGTGTTCCATGCAGGCACTGCAATGAAGGATGGGACGGTTGTGACAAATGGTGGTCGAGTGCTTTCAGTAACGGCTGTCCGTAAAGACCTGATTAGGGCAGTGAAAGAAGCAAATAAAGGGGTTGAAACTGTTCAGTTTCAAGATGCTGTTTACAGAAAAGACGTTGCACATCGAGCCATTGCATTCACAAAACAGTCTAGGTTTGTATCTAAATGCTAATCAATCTTTTCCTGATATTTTGAATTCTATTTGAGCATGGGGTTAGGAAGCAATTTCAAAGTGACAGCAGATTATTTCCTGCAGCTCAAATGAGTTCATTAAACTACTGGTTCAAACACTGTCAATGCTTTATTTGGGTAATGCATTCCTCTAAGTTCTGAACAAGCTTCATCTGGTCTGAGGTTAGATCCCAGTCTATGGTGAGTTAGCTGATCTCTTTGTCAAAGTAGCTATGGATCCACAGTATTAAACAATTGTGCACCTATTGCTTCATGGAATAAAAACACTATATATGAAATTATAGGGGGTGAGATCTTTGTGATCACTATTGGTAACTGCTGCTGGAAAATAAAAATAATACATGCAGGTTTTGCTGTGAGGTTTTTAGGGTCAACCAGCCTGGTGACCTATGCAGTCTGGGGTAATAAGAGGAGAACGGACATTTCTGGTATCAGAATCAGAAATGCTTATTAAGTCATACCCCAGTATGGATCAAACATTCCACAAAGAACAGCAAAAACAAAAGGACAGAAGAGGGTGGGATTAGGGCATTAAGTTCGATAATCAGCAATGATCATTTTGAGTGGTGGAGTGGGCTTGGGAAATTGAATGGTCACTCCTGCACCTGTCTTCAATGTTTCTATGTTAAGGAAGGAAATCTGCTGTCCTTAACTGCTGCAGCCTTTATAAGCAATGCAGTTGACTCCTGATTATCCTCTAGGGATGGGCAATAAATGTTGGCGTAGTCAGTGATGCCCCCAGTCCCATGAATGGAGTGAAAAAAACAAGTGGTCTCACTAATGCCCCATATGACTGAAGCAAAACAACCTTACTTTCATGTACAACTCCACATGAGCCAAGTCAGGCCTTATTTTGTCTTTGAAATTGCTGATCAAATTTGTGATTTTTTTTTTTTTATTTTCAAATCTGCCAATGGTTGCTACAGCTATTGTATAAATGCAGATCAGCTCACCGATCAGTTTGTTTCATTCAAGAAGACGCAAAATGTATGTGATTGGAATTTGTGTAATAATAATTTTTGCAATATTTTGAACAGCTTTGAGTTTAACTTGAACTTCGCTTTGCAAAAACTTACACACTTTTCTGTGTCTGCTCAATGCTTATTCTTCACCACCCCCTCTCTGCAGAGGACTGACTTATAAAGATAGTGGTGTTGATATTGCAGCTGGGAATGCTTTGGTTCATTCAATAAAACCACTTGCGGCAGCTACCTCCAGACCAGGTAGGCAGGTATCCACTCTAATTGAATCTAGTACTACTAGCTGTATTACCAATAGATGTATTGTATATAAAATATCTTTTTTAAGCCTAAAATATCATTGGAAGATAGACATCACACAGTAGTATGTTTGAGTACCAGTTGTGGAATAAATTCTGATCAGAAAATAACATCAATGAGGAATTGATTTATTTTACATATACAGATTAAATTGCCTGTACTCTAGGAAAACTGTGACTTATATAGGATTATAATGCCAAATATATATTATAATATTGTAATTCTCCTGAAGGATGTGTAATAACTTTATAAAGATGTCATTATGAAATTGTACAATACTTTGTTTGGTCTACAGTTAGAATACGGAGTGTAGTTTGGGACAGTTCATTATGGAAAGGCAGGATGATGTAAATTTGCTGGATATTATTGAGGGATGAATGAAATGAGTTATATTCAATGACTTGGAAGACCAAGGTGTGTATTCAGAGAAGCGGTGGAAGTTATAGGGGAATTTTACAGAAAGTCCCAGGCTATGAAGCAGCTTTAGGGGTACTGAGTTGAAAAATATTTCCATATCAATGAATTGGGTAACAGAGGTGCATTAGCTTAGACTGAATATTAAAACCATAAAGGTGAGATTAGGAGAAATGTTCTCCATGCAAAGGTGACTTGAATATGAAATGTCTTACTGCAAGTGTTCATTGAAGCTAAGCTACACTGAGCATTTACAATGGAATTGAATAAGATTGAATAATCTGATAAAATGAAATTGAGTACGGAGCTAACACTGCACAGATAATGTGGGCCAACTGTCTATGAATCTAAGAAATTGTTTCTGTCTAATTCTCAGGATGTAATGCCGAGCTTGGAGGATTTGCAGGCACCTTTGACCTGAAGGCAGCTGGGTACACTGATCCAGTCCTTGTCTCTGGAACTGATGGAGTTGGAACCAAACTTAAGGTGTTGTTTGCTTGTATTGTAATTGTAATGAGTTTCTAAAACATGTGATGTTATTGATCCTAATTTTCTTTATTCCTTTATTCCCTTCCTATTCAAACTCCATTTTGACTGTGGACAGATTGCCCAGATGTGTAATAAACATGACACATTGGGCCAAGACCTGGTAGCGATGTGTGTAAACGATATTCTGGCACAAGGAGCAGAACCACTCTTCTTTCTCGACTACTTTTCCTGTGGGATGTTGGACGTCAGTGTAGCACAGACTGTGATTGCTGGTATTGCGGAGGCTTGTAAAATGGCTGGATGTGCACTGTTAGGTAAGGCAATACTGTGGCATCAATGCAATTCCCAATGTTGCTAATGAAGCTGCTTAAAATAAGAATACACTCGCAACTGTTTTCTAAGTCAATGCATTACCATTACAATGAGCAAAGCTAAATATTGGGTCTTGTTTCGTGAATGAACTGGGATCAGATAGCACATTTAATCAGTGCAACGTAATTATAAAATGGTCAAGGTGGCAGCCTTTGCTTTAGCAGTAGCATGGTTGCCTTGGGCATAAAGAAGTTGTTGGTTCATGTACCTTTTTGTCTGTTTTTTGCAATATCTCCTACTACAGGTTCCTAGTTTTCAATTCTGTCACAAGTGAAGATATGTCTTGCACAACTACCTCGTCCAACCTATTTAGAGCTTTAAAGTCCTCTTATCTGGTCATTCTTTTTCTAAAAAAAAAAGGTCTCTGGTAAAGATGCCGTATCAATGCATGTTATGCAGGATAAGCAATGGCAGACTGGCCTTTTTCTCATTGTGATGCTGTCAAGTTCTTGTTGTGTTATCATGACCATTTTAACTGTGGCAGTTTTTCTTCTCTTGTTTATTGTTTTGAAGGAGGAGAAACGGCTGAAATGCCAGGCATGTATTCCCCGGGACAGTATGATCTGGCTGGCTTTGCAGTTGGAGCAGTGGAACGTGAACGGCTTCTCCCGCAGCTGGAGAACATCTCCGCAGGTGATACCATCATTGGCATCGCATCGTCTGGTCTCCACAGTAATGGCTTTAGCCTCGTTCGAACCATTTTCGAGAAGTCCTCTTTCCAGTGTTCCTCCCCAGCACCATCCAGTTATGGTTCAAAGACCCTTGGTAAGGTTTCAGAGAAAGTATTGGTTATGAGGCCTTTTTAATTAGATAACTGCACCTTGAACAAAAACAGAAGTTGCTGGAAAAGCTCAGCAGGTCTGGCAGCATCTGTGAAGAAAAAAAATCAGAGTTAACGTTTTGGGTCTGGTGACCCTTCCTCAGTTCTGAGGAGGGGTCACCGGACCCGAAACATTAACTCTGATTTTTTTTTCTTCACAGGTGCTGCCAGACCTGTTGAGTTTTTCCAGCAACTTCTGTTTTTGTTCCTGATTTACAGCATCTGCAGTTCTTTCAGATTTTATTTAAGTGCACCTTGAACCTGACTTAAACATTTATAGAATAATATCGTTAGGAAACAGATGCTTTAATCCAACCAGTCCATGCCAAACATAATCCCAAACTAAACTAGTCCCACCCATCTGCTCCTGGCCCATATCCCTCCAAATCTTTCCTATTCATGTACTTATCCAAATGTCTTTTAAACATTGTAACTGTGCCCGCATCTGGTGCTTCCTCAGGAAGTTCATTCCACATGCAAACCACCCTCTGTATGAAAAAAGTTGCCCCTCACGTAGTTTTTAAATCTCTCTCCTGTCACCTTAAAATATGTCCCCTAGTCTTGAAATCCGCCATCCTAGGAAAAGACACCTACCATTAACCCTATCACGTGAAAGAACCACATTATACAGGCAGCAGGCCAACGTTACCTCTCTTGTGCTCCTGTATGACCTTTAGCCAGGCCCTGCATTGAATGAGCCCCTTTTGAAAAATAAACAAATATTCCTGTTTCGAGACTAGCACATGTAGGACATTGAAGTCAGTGCATGAGAGTAACCCTTGAACATGTCACTTAATTGTGTTACAACTTACATCCAAAAATTAACGAGTAGAATCTGTTGGCAGTATCCCAAAGTGTTTGTTGCATTATTGTGGCTTCTGTTTGTGCATATAATATCTTAATAGAAGAATTGCTTTTAATTTCTAGAGGGCTGTGGATGCACATTCGTAGAGTTCATTTGATGTGGAGATGGAGGTGGTCTTTCATTGAAACAACCTGCAGATTTTGCTTCAACAATAAGACTGAAATTAATTATGCAAAATAAATGAAAACAATGTGAAAGAAACTAAACTACTTTCAAAACACGTAGTGAACTGTAATCTCAACAGCATTCCTTTTTACAGGACTTGCACCAATAGACTTCTCTTCTCTCTTACAACTATAGGACTTTATTATAGTTTAAATTCTCAGACTTAAGGATCTGACCACCTCTTTCTGAGTCTTTATGCAACCGAGTTTAGACTTTTTCAGCTATAAATAATCCCCTTCAGGATTTTAATGAAACAATTTTGGTCTGAAGCTTTCAAACTAAATTCCTTACACTGAGGTAATCTATTTCTTAACAATTCTAAACTATCTGTCTTCTATAGGGGTAACTGTTTTACACATTCAGTGTCAACCAAGACTTCTGCACCTTGAAACAAAAAAGCTTTCTTCAAACTTAGGTGTTGTCCCTATGCCAAAACACACAAGAGTTTTCTGGATCCTTCTAATGCACAATTTTTACTCTTTTCATAAAACTCATGTGATGAAAACAAAAGCCTATTACTCTCCAGGAAATATCGTACTGTAATTTAAAATAAATCGCTGTGGCTACAGAAAAACTTGCATGTTCATCATTAAACATCCCTCAGTCACACACCAAAATTAATATGCCACTAGTTCAAAGTCCAAACTCTAAAATAAATTAAACTAAAACTAAAATGTATATAAACACCATACATCACAAAGCTAACCTTGCTTTAACAAGCTACTATTTTTGCTAGTAAGCCAACCAGTACCACTGCTTTTAAAGACTGAGGTTTATAACTAATTCTTAGCCTCTATTGCTAGAAAACAAAAGTTACAACAATCACACGACAGAACATGGAATCGGCTCCTCTGTGGCATTTCTCAGCGGTTTAGATTTGTAAAATTCATCTTCTCTTGTAGGGGACGTGCTTCTGACACCCACCAGAATTTATACTAAGGCCTTGTTGCCAATTCTGCGCCTGGGACTTGTGAAGGCTTATGCTCACATCACTGGAGGTGGACTGCTCGAGAACATCCCCAGAGTGCTTCCTGAGAAGTTTGGTGTTGTATTAGGTGAGAGCTTTCTTCATATAATACAGAGTGTTACACCATGGAAAGAGTCCATTCGCCTCATCAACTGCCGTGGCATTTTGTTCACCATGCAGTGTTCTCTTTCAATTCCAATTCTGGATGTTTTCTTTTCAACTTGTCATTTAATAACTTTGCTGATGTAATATCTACCTCTGGTCTCTTTATGTCAAAATTAATAGCGAAAGAAAGGCATTCAGGGCTTTTTTAATAGTTGCTAATCATATATCAGTGCCTATTATTCTCATAGCAAGTTGAACTTCCGTTGGGAAGTGATTGATTTGGATCTCAATCCTGGCAAGGTGCATCTATACCTCATTAAACACCTCCCAAGTAACAAACTGTAGGCATCCCTCATCCAGATGTACCTGAACACGTGGTTCAAAAAGACAGTTCACCTTCACCATTTCAAGGGTTTTGCAACAAATTCTGGACTCACAAGTGATGCTAAGGTGCCATGAAAGAATTTAAAAAAAAATAAAATTTCCTCTTGACCAATCTAAACGTCAGAATAGAATTGTGCCAGTATGACTGATATTTTTATTTTTGTATCCCGCACCATCACCTAAATATTTTGTAAGACTCCCTTTGTAAATGACAGCCTGTCTTGGGCTATAGGTTTATACAAAAAAGGAATTGGACTGAATGGCCTGAACAGATCTCTTGGAGCTGGATTTGAGTCTGAGTTTCTGAGATTGTAGTCCAGCACGATCCAATTGAAAGCACTTGAACTTGTGATACAATTAATCATGTAGAATTTTAAGTAATTACTTTTGAAGTGGCCACAGATCCTTTTTTTTCCCCTAAATAATTCAGTTGTTGCAATTACATTCCTGTACTGGGGAAAGGGAATTGGTAACAAAATGCCTGAACTTCAGTGATATTCAAATCCTTCTCCTTCAGTTACAATACTATTTTTATTGTCATTTAAAAGATGCGTCATGTTGGAAGATTCCTGAAATCTTTTCCTGGCTACAAAGACATGGGGCCCTTTCTGAAGAAGAGATGGCTCGCACCTTTAACTGTGGAATTGGAGCCGTGCTCGTAGTCGATAAAGAGAAAGTTGAAAATGTGCTGCAAAGTATACAGAGCCATCATGAGGCATGGGCCATTGGAAAAGTTGTGCCACATAAAACAGGTTACTTCTTATCCATTAGCTGTGTATGCACAAGGAAGGGGAAGACTGTCAAAAATATGGTTTGTTACAGTTCCTGATTTCTACTTGAATTACAATTGTAAACTTTGCTGGTATAATGGGAATTATTTGCCTATCAAAGCAAAATATTGTAAACAGTGGAAATCTGAAAGAAGAACAAAGAATCCTCAATACGTGACTGGTCATGCAGTATTTGTGGACAGAAACAAGCATTAACTTTCCATTTCAATTAACTTTTTCATAAAACATTACTACGTGAATATTCTTGAGGTTTTGGAGTAGATTTGTAACTCGGGTTGTGGTTGTCGAGGTTGGTTGACTCGCCAAGCTGGTTGGTTGTTCCGCAGACGTTTCATTACCCTGCTGGGTAACATCATCAGTGCAGCCTCCGATGAAGCGCCGTTGTGTTTTCCTGCCTGTTTTTTAAACTCTGGAGTCCATTGAACTGGATTACCTCACTTCCGGTTTTCCTTCGCAGTGGAGAGTATATTGTCAAACACATAGAACTCGACCCCATATACACTCCATTGTGAAGGAAAACCGGAAGTGAGGTAATATAGCTCAACGGACTCCAGAGTTTAAAAACCAGGCGGGAAAACATAACGGCACTTCATCGAAGGCTGCACTGATGATGTTACCCAGCAGGGTAATGAAACGTCTGTGGAACAACAACGAACCAGCTTGGCGAGCCAACCAACCTCAACTAACTATTCTTGAGTTTTAAGCAAATGCAGATGCAGAGAAAGGAACAGAAAAGTGATAATGTCAAAGGAAGGAGAGAGTAAATGACAAAAACGATGATCCAGCAAGGTAAAAAGAGGTGCTAATGGAGGTGTAAAGAAACAAAACAGAAGTCTAAAGGAAGTGTGAGTAACAACTAGAAAATTGTCACCAACACGTATTGGCTGGAAAAGTGGGGCAAATGGCAATGATGGAAAATTATAAACTCTTGAGTCCCAAAGACTGTAAAGTGCCTGACCTGCTGAGTGTTTTATTTTCTTTTATTGAAGATCATTTTTACTGAATTCACAATGTACACAGAATAGGTGAAATTTAGCAATTGGGTGTTATCAACTGTTCAGATGATATATTACTGGCTAAATGCACCATTGTGGATCCAAGAAAATCTGGCCATTGATCTTTTGTATGTTCTAAATGAGACAGTCTCATTCAACCAGGGGTGGGATGGGATAAATCCTGGGCTGGCACGACTGATGTCTGAAGAAAAGTTGGATTGGTTAGGACTGTATTCACTGGAATTTAGAAGAATGAATTGAAGCCTATAAAGTTCAAACAGAACTAAATAGGGTAGATGGATGTAAAATGTTCCCAATGACCAGGAAGTCCAGAACCAGGGGTCACAGTTTAAGGATGCAGGGTAGGACATTTAGGACTGAGATAAGGAGAAACCTCCAAACACTGGTGAGCCTGTGGAATTTACTACCACAGAAAACAGTTGAGGTCAAAACATTGAATGTTTCCAAGGAGGCGTTGGATACAGCACTTGAGACTAAAGGATGAAAGGATATGGGGAGAAAGCAGGAAGAGGCCGTTGAGATGGTTGATCAGTCCTAATCAAAATGAATAGCAAAGCGTGTTTGAGGGGCTGAATGGCCTAATCCTGCTCCTATTTTCTACGGTGATTGAGAGTTAATGGTTGGGTTAAGGAGACAAAGTACCCACTTCTTCTGTAATCTCGGCTGGACGGCAGCTGAGTGTGTAACTTCTATGCAACTAACCTGAGTTCAGCTAGGATCTCTAGAGGGGGAAACGGATTAATCAGCAAGTAACACTGCTCCTGAAGGCTGACTTATGACTCCTCCTGGCAAGTAGGAATGTGGATGTCAGCTGAGACAGCATAACAGGGGGCTGTGATGTCTGCTGATAGCTACCATGTAGGTTCACTGCAGGACTGTCATTGTTCACTAAGCTAGTGCCCATGGAACCATTCTCTGGAAAAGTACAGGTGTGATTCGGAGAGCTTGGGAAGAAATTGAGGAGGAGACCAAAGCAGCCCTCCATTTATTGTTGATGTCTTTTGCTTTTGTCTGTGTCGAGTTGCTGGCTAACACTAATTTACAGAGGGTGGTTCACACATGGAATGAACTTCCTGAGGAAGTGGTGGATGCGGGTACAGCTACAACGTTTAAAAGATACTTAGATAAGTATATGAATAGGCAAGGTTTGGAATGATATGGGCCAGGAGCAGGCAAGTGGGACTAGTTTAGTTTGGGATGATGTTCAGCATGGACTGGTTGGACCAAAGAGTCTATTTCCATGCTGTATGACTCTATGACTGTATAAGATGGTTTCTCATGGTGTTCTTTTGTGCTATTGCTGTTCATGGTCCATACCTCCAACTGGTGGAGAGATGGGGGGTGCAGAGGAGGAGGGGTGCAAAGCTGTCCCATTAAACAACGTTGAACAGAAAATAAATTCTTGCCTTTTTATTTTTTTTGTGAAAAATGATCTGAGGACTAACAGCCATCTTGACCTTTTTAACATAATGTGGAAAATATTTTCAGTTGATGTTCTTGGTCCACCTGCTTTGTTACCAAATGGTGCCAGTTGTGCAGTTCAGAATCAAACTCAGCTATTTGAGAATCTTTCCAAAAAAAATCTGTTCAAGGATTTCACACTTTTTTTATTCCCCCTCCTCATTTAGGCTGTGAAAAGGTATCAATTAAAAATCTCATGAAAATGCTACACTTAAGCCAGCAGTCTGATCAACATGCTACAGGTGATGATTTATCACGAGATTCTTCGCAGACTCGGAAAATGAGAGTGGGTGTTCTCATCTCTGGAACAGGTGGGTTCTTACGTTGCATTCGTACTTCTCCAGCTCCGACCAGAACTGTACTTGTTTAATTTGAAATACTGTTTATTGAGAAAGGAATATGGATATGTTTCCTTAATGACACAGCCCTTTTGTTCATTGACAACACCAAAAGCTCTGCTTTTCCCTTCTGGAAGCCCTCATTAAATGTATAGAAAGAAAGCTAGTGTGTTTTCAGACTATGGGACCTCAGTTCAAAATGAGAATCACTTTGACCATTCAGTGATCTTGAATTTGGTATTGATAAATTTCCCACCTATTGGGATGGATATTGTACACAGGAGAGGTTAGGAATCTGCTTTCACATCTGTTCCTATTTCCACAATCCATGAGTAGTCCAGATCTTCTAGGGAAATCACCAAAGCATTTTCAAGAAATAGAATAAGTTTGCCTGAACAAGTTGGTTTTTGCTTACATTTTTCTGTGCATTTTTTTTCAGGGACAAACCTTCAGGCCATTATAGAACACACCAAGGATCCTGCTAGTTGTGTAGAAATAGTAACTGTTATCTCCAACAAACCTGGTGTCGAAGGACTGAAGAAAGCAACTCGAGCTGGCATTCCTACACGGGTGAGAGTACCTTAGCCATCTGGACTGACCAAATGCAAATAATAACCAATAACTGTCACATTGAGTAAAACCCCAGGCTGCGAGGAGAAGTGCAGGTGCCCAACATGAGGGACAGTATTGTTGAACATGTTCCCAGTTGTTAGTGTGTAATGTTCCATGTTCAATCCAACACTTTAAATTACAGTGCCCCAGTTTGGGACAAACCCAGTGTTTTTAGGTAAAAGTGAGCAGAGGGGAAAAAATGGTGAATATGTACATGGGTAAATATGATATATACAATATCATTGAGGCATGGGACATGGTTTAAGTACACATTGCTGTCAGTGTGCTTCATTTTAGATACAAATTTTACACAAAGGGAAGAGTGAGAGAGAATGGATGGAAGAGTATTTATAGAGTCATTGAGATATTCAGCATGGAAACGGACCCTTCGGTCCAACTTGTCCATGCCAACCAATTACCCTATATAAATCTAGTCCCATTTGCCAGCATTTGGCCCATATCCCTCTCAACCCTTCCTGTTCATTTACCCATCTCGATGCCTTTTAAATGTTGTAATCGTACCAGCCTCCTCCACTTCCTCTGGCAGCTCATTTACATGGAAGTGGTAAAAGTTGGCATCAAGAAACCATTTTAATTATCCAAATGCAGTGCTAACTAATAGCTCTGATCAACCTTGAAACAGGAACCCATGTACTGATACTGAAATATGTTTAACAGAATAACTAGTTATTAAATGGTAAACCTGGACTATCTGTGATCACTATTTTATAAACATACTTATGCAAAAATCAACATGGGCTTCTAGCTGGCTGGGAAATAATTCTGTAGTCACATTTTGGTTTTCAAAAAAAAAGTGGAGCAATTTTTGTAAAGTTTCATTTTCTCACATTACATGACTGGTAAAAACACTTGCTCATTTTGCCTGATTTGGATTCTCTTTTGTTTTCGAAAATCTATAGGTAATTGACCATAAATTGTATGGCAGCCGCTCAGAGTTTGATAATACTGTTGATCAGGTCCTTCAGGAATTCTCCGTTGAATTGGTGTGCCTAGCAGGATTTATGAGAATTCTCTCTGGTCCCTTTGTTAAGAAATGGAATGGTAAATATTGATACTTCGTTCCCTCCAGTTGCTCTGAACAGTCTGTTAGTAGCACTATGTCACAAATAAAGAGAGAGTGATGCTTTCAAGGAAAACGAAGCTAGAATTAAATAACTGGGGACTTTTTGAAAATACAGGCAGGAAGAAATGTGGTTGGGGTAGCTTCATTAGTATGAGATGGAATAAATTCGTAAGCAAGAAATGATCTTGGATCAGAAGATGTTGAATTCGTATGGCTAGGTTATAAGCAATAACAAGAGGAAGTAGTTACAACATGAAAATTGTTGTACATGTGGAATGACATAGAACACAGCCTGGAACCCAGGTGGCATAGTGGTTCCGTGGCTAGCACTGCTGCCTCACAGCGCCAGGGAGCTAGGTTCGATTCCACCCTTGGGCGACTGTCTGTGTGGAGTTTGCACATTCTCCCTGTGTCTGCGTAGGTTTTCTTTGGGTGCTCCGGTTTCCTCCCACAGTTCAAAGATGTGCAGGTTAGGTGAATTGACCATGCTAATTTGTCCGTAGTGTTCAGGGATGCGCAGATTAGGTGAGTTATAGGGGGATGGGTCTGGGTGGGATGCTCTGAGGGTCAGTGTACACTGTTTGGGCCGAAGGGCCTGTTTCCACACTGTAGGGATTCTAAGACACAAATTGATGGAGTTGTGAATAGTGAGGAAGGTTGTTAAAGGATATAGCAGGATATAGATTAGTTGGAAAGTTGAGTGGAGAAATGGCAAATGGAGTTTAATCCTGAGAAGTGAGATGATGCATTTTGGGAAATCCATTGGAAGAGGGAAGTATACAGTAAATGGCAGGACACTTAGGAGCATTGATGTATAGGTGGATCTTGGGCGCAAGTCCATAGCTCCCTGAAAGTGGCAGAGCAAGTAGTTGAGCCAGTAAAGAAGGCTTATGGCATGCTTGCCTTCATTGGTCAGGGAAATTGAGTATAAAGTTGGCAAATCATTTAGTAGCTGCACGAAACTTTAGTTAGACCACATTTGGAGTATCGTGTTTAGTTCTGGTCAGCACACTATAGGAAGGATGTAGAGACTTTGGAGAGATTGCAAAGAGGTTTACCAGGATATTGCCTGGATTGAAATGTATTAGTGATAAGGAGAAGCTTGTCAAATGTAGATTGGTTTTTGCTGGAACGTCGGAGGCCGAGGGGCAACCTGATAGAAGTATATAAAGTTATGAGAGACGTGGATAGAGTGGATAATTGGAGTCTCTTTCCCAGGATGGAAATGTGAAACACTAGGGGGCATAGGTTTAAGGGGAGAGGGTGAAAATTTTTAAACCAGATGAGCGAGGCAAGTTTTTTTTTGCACAGAGGGTCGTAGGTGCCTAGAATGTACTGCTATGGGAGCTGGTAGAAATAGATACGATAGTAAAGTTTAAGAGGCATTTAGACAGTCACATGAGTCAGCAGAGAATACAGGGATACATATGACCATGTGCAGGCAGGTAGGTTGATTTTACAGTGACATCATGGTCAACAGAAACATGGAGGGCTGAAGGGCCTGGTCCTGTGCTGTACTGTTCTAGGTTCTATGATAGTTGACACTAGTTATATGGTCGTCATTAAGTTAGTATTCAATTCCAGATTTTTATTGAATTCAAATTTCACCATCTGCCACAGTTAAATTCAAACTCATATCCCCCAGTGGGATTCTGGATCACTAGTCTAATGATGTTACCACCATGCCGCGCATCCCATTTTATGTTAGCATGGATAGAGGATTGGCTAACAAATAAAAGAGAGTTGAGATATGGCATTTTCAAGATGGCACCCTGTAACTACTGGAATTTGTGCTGGGACCACAATTATTTACAATATGAATCAACGGCTTGGAAGAAGAAAGTGAATTAATTATTGCCAAGTTTATAGATGACACAAAAATAAATGGGAAGGTGAGTGGTAAGGATGGTGTCTCCTGAAGGATCTAGACAGGTTAAGTGATTGGGCAGAAACTTGGCAGGTGGAATAACATGCAAAATGTTAGGTTATACACTTTGAATAGAGGAGCTGAATACTATTTAAATGACGAAAGGCTGCAACAGAGGAGGATTTGAGGTTCTCCTGCGTAAATCATAGAATGCTAGCATACAAGTTCAGCAGAAAATAGGGAAAGTAAATGGAACGTTGGCATTTACTTACAAGGAATAGTGTACAAGAGTAGAAATTTCTTGTCAAAATTATACAAAGCAGACCACAGCTAGAATATTGAGAACAGTTTTGTTCCCTTCTATCCTTGCATGAAAGTGTTTTTCCAACAAGGAGAGATTGTGTAGGTTGGACCTGAACTCATTGGAATTTAGAAAAACGAGAGGCAACCTTTTTGAAATGTACAAGATTCTTAGGGGCTTGACAGGGTAGATGCAGAGAATTTATTTCCTGTGTGGGAGAGGATTAGAGAGCATAATCTTAGATTAAGGGTTCACTTATTCAAGACAGGGGTGAAGAAGAATTCCATCTTAGAGAATAATGAATCTGTGTAACTCCTTTTATTGCAGAAGGCTGTCGAGGCTGGGTTGTTTAAAAATGCAAAAACCTGACACAGGTCTTTATTCAGGAAGGAAATCTAAAGTTTATAGGGGAGAAAACAACAAAGTGGAGTTGGGGGTTATCAGATCAGTCATGATCTCATTGAATGCTGGAATATTGGCCTATTATTATGTGTAATAGTCTTGTGGACTTATGGTAAAGATCTGTTTGCAGCATATTTTGAATTTGAGAGTTGAGCACAAATTTGATTATTGTAGATTTGATACAACTTCGAACATAAGACCGTTATTGGGTGAGTAAACTGTGTGGTCCAGTTTATTGTTTTCTGTCCGTAAGTTATTCTCCGTTAGGAGTTGCATTTAGACTAAGTTGACTTACTGCAGTTGTCGTAATGCATGTTTAAATAGTTCAGTTTAAATAGTTAAATAAAAAAGCAATTCTTTTCTAAGGAATATGAATGATATGGCGAGAAATGCTTAAAAATTGTAAACAAGTAATTGTCTCTTAAAGACTTCATTAAATAATGTTTAAACAAAAATCTAACTTCCAGGGAAACTACTGAATATCCATCCATCACTGTTGCCTTCTTTCAAGGGAGTTAATGCCCACAAGCAAGTGTTGCAGGCTGGGGTACGGGTGTCTGGCTGTTCTGTGCATTTTGTAGCTGTAAGTATTTTCCTCTCTAGCTTTCAGTTGCTGGTTTTCCACAAATTCTGTTTCTCTTTCTCAGTTTTTGGCCCAAATTCCCTCATGACTACACTGCTTTCTTCAAGTGAAGTTTGAACACTGATCTGTAAGATTTGTCACATTGACGTTCCCAATACAGACAAGATCAATGGACACAACTGTTGTTCCAGGGCAGATGCCTACACAATGTCCCAGGGTGCCTCTTACTGTTAGTTATAGAGTGTGAAATTTCACAATCTAGTTTTGGCACCAGTCCAGATCACTGACATAAATGAGTTTTGTTTTGTTTTGGTTCCTTTATGATTCTTTGAGACAAGGCTAATGATGCATCAGTTCTCAGTCTTGCTTTCATTGGCAGAGGATTCACCACTTCAGTACCTTTAAAGATGTTCTTTATTCCCCTTTTTCCTTTCAATAGCAGATTTACAGAGAGAACAACTTGAAAGAGAAAGGAGAGTGAGAGTAACAAATTATTAGGGATTTCTTACTGTCTCTGCATGCAGAAGGAGAGAGGGAAATTGATGCTTTCTCTTCGCAGACTGAATATTTCTGCCACATTGTCCACATGCACAGTAGTCACCTCTCCAGGAACAATCCAAGCGGTTGTTACTGAGCCAAACCCTCCATAGCCCCCAATAACTGGTCCTGATTGGCTTTTGAATTAAAAGACTCTGTTTCTTGGCAAAATTGTCCTGAAGACACAAACGCGCACACAGTGCCATTCTATCCAGAATGCTTCCTCACTGCTTGAATAAGGTAACATTGTAGATGCAACTCAAAATGTCTTCCAGTAACTTATTTTAAAACTACAAATCTCTTCTTACAGTTTCCTTGGTTTGAAGCAGCATTTAATACCATTTTTAGTCTATAGCCCAAATAGAATGATCCATGCAACAAGCCACAAGTATAAAGGCTTTTAAAGCCTTTTTTGTCCAGGCCTAAATGATGTTGACTTTTTTTTTCTAATAGTATTCTGCTGTTTTTCTTTTCTTTGTTATTTCAGGAAGAAATTGACGCTGGAGCAATTATTGTGCAGGAAGTTGTTCCGGTACTGGTGGGAGATTCTGAAGAGACCTTGTCCGAGAGGGTGAAAGAAGCTGAGCATGTAGCATACCCTGCTGCTATCCAACTAGTGGCCAGTGGAGCAGTACGTTTAGGTGAAGATGGCAAAATCTGCTGGAGAGAGCAGAAGGCAATTGAAACCATGCAACATGGGACTGGTTACAAAAATTGAGGAATTTTAGAAGGGGAGAACTGTGAAAGAAATTGAAATCCCTTTTTCTGATTTGCTTATTGTCGTTGTTGTCCGTTCCACAACCATATCTCATGAAGTGGAAAACTAAAATTCTCTTATGTGCTCAATTTAATTTTGTTACTTAAAACAGATTATCCTTAACAAAGTAACTTTATCAAATAAAAAGACTTTTTCACAGAAATTAAATGGAGATTGCAGAAAAGCAAGTAAAACAAACCTCGCACTTTGTTTTCACTTGCTGTGGTAACAAAACTTGGAAAGTTTCTGAAGAAGGGTCCAGACCCAAAACGTCAGCTTTCCTGCTCCTCTGATGCTGCTTGGCCTGCTGTGTTCATCCAGCTCTACACCTTGTCATCTTAGAAAGTTGAGTTCTGTTTTATTGTTGAGCAATTTTCTAAGATCTTTCTGACGTGTATGGACATTTACAAGTATGAGTATCATTACTCCATCTATTCTTTCTTTTTAAAGCCATAGTAAAGAGAATTTTGGATAGGATCTCTTGAGAAAAACCTATGTTTAAAACAATCTTAGCAACTTTGGATGTAATATGGAGCACAGTTAGATGAAACAAAAGAGTTTATAAGAGTTAAAAGCTGATTACCTGCTGAGCAAGACCGCTTGTGTTAGTATGTGCTGCAAGAAGATAAAAACTGAGAGCAGGAGTAGGCGATTCAGGCCCATAAGCCTGCTTTGCCATTTAATAGTATCGTGGCTGATCTCATCTCTACCTCAACTTCACTTTCCTGCCCACTCTCCATGACCCTTCAACATGTTACGAATGAGAAATCTTATCTCTCTCCTTAAATTTATTCAGTGACCTGGCATTCACCACACTTTGAAGTAGTGAATTCCACAGATTTATGAACCTTTGAGAGATTCCTCCTTATTTTTGTATTAGACCAAGGGGTGGTACGTTGAAAACAATGACCTCGCATTCTAGCTTGCCCCACAAGGGGAACCATCCTCTCTGTCTTATTTGTCAAATCTCTTTAGCATCTTGCATACCTCTGTTAGATCTCCTCTTGTGACTATAGCCCAAACTGCTCCATCTCTCTTCATAAGATAAACCCCTCACCTCTGAAATCCATGAAGTTGAACATTCTCTGACATGCCTCCAATGCAATTCCATCCTTCCTCAGGTAAGGGGACCAAAACTGTATACAATATTTCAGGGATAGTAGGAACTGCAGATGCTGGAGAATCCGAGACAACAAGGTGCAGGGCTGGATGAACACAGCAGGCCAAGCAGCATCATAGGAGCAGAAAGGCTGACGTTTCAGGCCTAGACCCTAAAGGCTGAAACGTCAGCCTTTCTGCTCCTATGATGCTGCTTGGCCTGCTGTGTTCATCCAGCCCTGCACCTTGTTGTCTACAGTATTTCAGGTGTGGTCTCACTAATGTCTTGTCCAGTTTCAGCAACATTTCCATACTGTTATACTCCATTCCATTGCTAATGAATGACTGCTGTGGGTCTACAATGTAGTTGACTCTGAACTGCCCTCTGGGCAATTAGGGATGGTCAATAAATGCTGCCTAGCCAGTGACGCCCCTCATCCCATTTAATGAATTTTTAAAAAACCTATTCAGCTAGTAACAGCCTCAAAACATTGCAACAGGTTTATCGTGATGTTCCTTATTACTTATTCATTTTGTTACTTATTACTTTTACTTATTCATCTTCACTGAGCATAGTCAAATTGTATTTTCTCTAAGTGTCCAATTATCACATCCTTTATAATAGACTCTAGTATTTCTCTACTACAAGATGTCATGTTAATATGCTTGTAAGACCATAAATCAGAGGAACAGAAGTAGGCCATCAGCTCACTAATACTGCCCTGCTGCTTGATGAGATCATGGCTGATCCGATAATCTTCAGCTCCACTTTCCTGCCTTTCCCCACCTTGTTTCTCTTACTGATTAAAAATTTGTCTGTCTCAGCCTTGAATATACTTAATGACACAGCTTCAGCAGCCCTTGTAGTTCCCTGTTTTTCCTCTCCTTTGTTTCTTAAATAATAGGGTTACATTTTCAATATTCCAATCTACAGATTCTGTTCTGGAATCTGTGGAATTTGTAAAGTTGATCATTATCCATTATCTGTACAGCCAGCTCTTTCAATACTTGCTGGACTGTTAATACAGAGATACAGATGACATTCTGGGTGCCTGGGTTTGAATCCCACCATGGCAGATGGTGGAATTTGAATTTAATAACAAAATATCTGGAATTAAGAATCTAATGATGACCATGAATCCATTGTCGATTGAGATCATTGGGTTCTGCGACTTTGCCAACTTTCAGTTTCACTAATTGCTCCCATTTTATTTTACAAAATCATTTTTCAGTTACCCGTCAACACTAGGATGACTAACAGAGTAATTATTCAGTTTCTCTGCCACTTACCTGTTTTCTTTTATAAATTCTGTTATTCTGTAATTTAATACTTTTGTGTTTACTTATCTTTTCCTCTTTATGTACTTTAGAATTGTTTACCATCCATTTTTATGTTACTTGCTAATTTGTTCATATTCTATTCATCATTTCTTTCTTTATTTCTTGATCCTTCTTTATTAAATTCTAAAATGCACCTAAGCCTCAAAATTGCTACTCTTATGGCAACTTTATAATTCTCCTCCTTTGATTTAGTCTAATCTTTAACTTCCTTTTAATAACCACAGTTGACTCACTTCTGTTGCGCTTTAGTGGTTTAAAGGAATATGTTTGTTGCAAAGCAGGTATTAATTGATTCCATACTAGTCATTACCTATGTACCATCATACCTTTTAATATATTTCTCTGCTTACACAGCCAACATGTCCCTTATGCCTTCATTTTTTTTTTGTTCAGATTTAAGATTGAAGATTTGGACTGAAACACATTGTTTTTAAACATAGCCAAAAGCTCTATTTTATTATAGTCACTGTTTGCTGCAGGTTCTTATTTGTTGCACAATACTAGATCCAAAACAGTGCGTTCTTTAGTTCTTCGACCTATTGCTCTGGAAAACTGTCATGTATACATTCCAGGAATACATTCCGCCCCCACAGCAATAGAGCTCATTAGATTTACCCAGTCCATATGTAGATCAAAGCCATCCATAATTAGCATGTTACTTTACCTTAAACTGGGTACTGTTCCCTCATATCTCCACCAAGAGCCCCTTTCTAAATAAAATGTAATTTCTGTTCATAGTAGTAGTTCACCAGGTTTGGCAGCAGCTAAATTTCATGTGCAGAAGTGAGACTTGGGAATTAAAATTTGATGGGCCTTTTGAAATGGCAATTGCACTCACAGCCCTGTCAACCCTGAAAGGTCCTCAATACTAACATCTGGGGACTTATGCCAAAATTGAGACAGCTGTCTGAAAGACTAGTCAAACAACAGCTTGACATTCTGATGGAATTGTACCTAATAAACAGTGTCCCCAGACACAACCACTAACATCTCTGGGTATGTCCAGTTCCACCAGGACATGGTGGTTCAGTGGTATACAATCAAGAGGGAGTTGTCCTGGGCATCTTCAACATTGAACATAACCCATGCGTTCTTGTGGCATTAGGTCAATCATGGGTAAGGAAGGTTTCCACTGATTACCGTGTACCACCTCCACCACCAACTCCCTGACTATTGAATTAGTTCTTCATGTTGAATATCACTTCACAGGAACATTGAGTGTGGCAAGGACACAGAATGTACTCTGACTAGGAGATTTCAATGCTTGTCACCAAGAGTGGCTCATTAGCCCCATGGCAGGCCACACTGGCTGCATCCCAAGAACAAAAAGAGCTGGACTGGGCCTGAGGCAGTTGTCGAAGGGAGAAAAAAGTAATTGATCTTAACCTCACTAATGTACCTGTATCTGTCCATAACAGTATCAGTAAGAGTAACCAATGCACAATTCTTGCGGAGATGAACTCTCAGTTTCACGTTGAAGATACACTCCATTTTTTTAGTATGAAACTACCATCATACTGAATGGAAAGGTTTTGAATAGATCCAGCAGCTGATGACTGACATCCATGAGGTGCAGTGGCTCATCAGCAGCAGAATTCAACCAGAACGTGTAAATTCATCCGCCAATATATCCCCTATTTGACCATAAAGACCAAGCCATTGGCATTTGCCCTGTTTTGGTGAAACTGTAAGGGGACATGCTGGGTACAGCACCAGACATGCCTAAAAATTAGATATCAATCTGGTTGGGCTATGAGAAGGCATTACTTGCATGCTAAACAACATGAGATAGTCAGAGTTAAGTGATCCCATGACTAATGGATCAAATCTAAATTCTGCAGTCTTATTAAACATGTCAGTTTAGGAAGAGGTTCTGAAAATATCCCCATCCTCAGGCTGAAGTATTTGCAACAATTGTTAGCCAGAAGTGACAAGTGAACAAGCCAATTTGACCTCATTGACTTTAGCCAATTCAACTCACTCCATATGATATAAAGAAATGTCTGAAGGGACTGAATACTGAAAAGGCTGTGGACCCTGACAACATTCCAGCAATATTTCTGAAAACGTGCTCCAAAACTACCTGTGCCCTTAGCCAAGCTATTCCACTACAGCTACAATACTGGCATCTACCTGACAATTCTCACCATTCGTGACTCCTCAGATACTGAAGCAGTCCATGTTCAAATGCAGCAAGGACTGGACAATATCTAGGATTGGGCTGACAAGTGGCAAGTAACATTTGTGCCACACAAATGCCAGGCAATGACCGTCACCGAAAAGAGACACTCTAATTACCATCCCTCGACATTCAATGGTTTTACCATCACTGAATCCACACCTATCAACATCTTTGACCAGAAACTCAACTGGATTCACCGTATAAACACATTGGCTACAAGAGCAGATCAGAGGCTAGGAATACTGCAGCAAGTAACTTACCTCCCAACTCGCCAAAGCCTGTTCATCAACTACAAGTCACAAATCAGGGGAGTGATGGAATACTCCCCACTTGACTGGATGAGTGCAGCTCCAACAACACTCCAGGAGCTTGACAACAGACAGGACAAAACCCACCTGATTGGCACCACATCCACAAGCATCCACTCCCTCCACCACTGACACTCAGTATCAGCAGTGGGTACTATCTACAAGATGCGCTGTAGAAATTCACCAAAGACAGCACCTTCCAAACTCATGACCACTTCCATCTAATGGTAACAGATAG